CTGCACTGACCCAGACATGAGCTGAGGCCTGCACTGACCCAGACATGAGATGAAGCTTGCACAGCTCTCAAGCATAGTTGATTCAGCTACACTGCAGTTACAGAGTGAGGCCTGTCTGTGCACAGCCAAATGTTAGGTCTGACGCTGATGGATATGACATCTACTCTTAAATGAGTAGAAACTATGCTTAAATGTTTTAACCAGAAAATATACGTACAATCACACTTCAGATTGGCGTGCAGGCTCTAATGGGCTATTATCAGTGTGAGTTTGAAAAAAACCAGCACAATACAGAAACCCACAAGCAACAGCATCTCGGCAAAGATAGAAGAACCATCCAAGAGCAGGCCGAAAAAGCAGCGAGATTGCACACTGTCAATTGGTTCAATTCAATTACAAACCTGTGTGTTTTAATTAAATCTTTGGCAAGTATGGCAGTCATCTGGGTTCAACTTATATGCATTAATATTTAAATTCCATTTGTGCTGAGCAGAAATGCAAAAGCAGCAGGATAAAGCTTGACGTGTCAGAGAGGGGAGGGAGAGAGGCATGCAGGAACTGAAAGCATGGAACTGGTGGTCTAGCTGGGAAATACAAGGTCGCCCAACATTGTGAGTGAGAGGATGCAGCCAGACTAGCCAGGATTTTAATGTTGTTAAAACTTAACCAATGCGTTTTGAATTCTGACTTCTTCAGTTTGTGAACTAACACGCAGATTGTACAAGTTCTCCCCTGCAATTAAAAAAAACACTTCAGTATAGAGTTGGAATAATCACACAGCGTAGTTCTTTCTGTGTTGACCATCTATCGCTCTCTATGAGAACAACACAGATCTACAAACCCAAAAGAAGAAAAAAAAGTGGACAAGGTGGAATAAAGCAGTCACTGACTGAAATGGATCCTGGTATGAGAGACACTGCAATTATAAAATCTCCACACCTCCAAACTCCTGTGCATCCAAATCAAAATCAATCCACCAGAGGTGACTTTGCCCTCTGTCTGCAATGCACCCCCTAAAATCCTTTTCCTTTAAAGCCAACCATGTTGCCCACTCCTCTCCTAATATCTTATGCGATGTAGTCTCAAATCTTGTTGGGAAATTGTGACTGTAAGGCACTTTGTGGTGTTTTACTGTTAAGTGTGTTAAGTAAATTCCAAGGACAGGTACAGCACAGGGCTAGATACACAGTCAAGATCCCTCTACTCTGTCCCCATCAAACATTTCCAGGCAGGTTCAGCATGGGAGTAGAGACAGAGTAAAGCTCCCTCTATACTGTCCCCAACAAATATTTCCAGGACAGGTACGTCACAGGGTTATATATAGGGTAAAGGTCCCTCTACATTGTCCGCATCAAATATTCCCAGGACAGGGACAGCATAGAGTTAGATACACAGTAAAGCTTCCTCTACACTGTCCCCAAACATTTCTAGGCAAGTTTAACACGGGGCTAGATACAGAGTAAAGCTTCCTTTATACTGTCCCCATCAAACATTCCCTGGACAACTACACAGCATTAATACACGGTAAAGTTTGCTCTACACTGTCACCATCTAACACTCCCAGGCAAGGTACAGCAAGGGCTGAGACACAGAGTAAAGCTCTGTCTACACTGTCCCTGTCAAACATTCTCAGGACAGCCAGAGGCCAGGCTGAAACAGGGTAAAAGTCTTAACTTCATGTTCTGTTGTCATTATGAGATTTTAAAGTTCAGTTTGTTGCAATTTACTGTGCTATTGTTTGAATGGTTGGAGCCTGGCTTTTGGGCCCCTCTTTGTGGTGTGAAAGAATCATCTGTGTGTTCCAGAATATGTCATAAAGCACTGTCAGAGTCCCATGCTCACACTGAAGTGACTATATACCTGCCCTCTTCTCCCATTGACTGGAATTATGTGTTTTATTCTAAAAGCTGACATTTCAGTTGGGACTGAGTAGAGTTGTGACAAGGTCGCTTTGTACTGAAACACAGAGCCTGCTGTGTGCTCGGAGCCAAGGAGCCTGCCTTGGTGGAGCTTTTCTTCCAAGAACTACTTAATTAATTGATCCCCAGCCTCACAATGCTGTTTCTGTTCAGGGTGACAGGGAGATTAAACCTTCTCTCACTATTGAAACATGCTCCATACCACTTATTAACTTCACACAAAGTTTTAGTCAAAGTTTGCTGAAAGAGTACCAAGTTTATTCCAGGTAAATCCTAATTGATAACAGCCACAGCAAGCTGAATTTATACAGCACCTTTAGCATGACAAAATGTCCCAAGGTGCTTCACTGGAACAATCGCCAAATTAAATTTGATCTCAACCTACTTAAAGGAGGTATCTGAAATGAAAACAAACTCAGCAGATCTGACAGTTTCTGCGAAGAGAGAAAAAGAGTTAATTTTCAAAGCTAATGACTCTTTGGAATGGAAGCGAATTTTTCTGAAGAAGAGTCATATTGGACTTGAAACATTAACTGTGTTTCTCTCTTCACAGATGCTGCCAGACCTGCTGAGTTTCTCCAGTGTTTTCCACATTTATCTCCTATGTCTGCAGTATTTTACACTTGTTTTAAGGAGGTACTGGGACATGCAGACGTCAGTCAAAGACAAAGACTTCAAGAAGCTTCTAAGCCCCATTCCAGACAGTCAATGGCACAGCCTGAGGTGGGACTTGGAGATGGAACAATGATAATGAGCAGGAAAACAATTAATCTTAAGAAAACTGCCAGAAAATGCCAGAACTGGATCCCCAAATGGAGGTTTACAGGTGTTGCAATGGCCTAGTGGTATTATCACTGGACTATGAATCCAGAGACTCCAGGTAATGTCCTGGGGACCCAGGTTCAAATCCCACCATGGCAGATGGTCAAATTTGAATTCAATAAAAATCTAGGATTAAGATTCCACTGGTGACCATGAAACAGTTGCCGATTGTCAGGAAAAGGCTATCTGATTCACTCACACCCTTTAGGAAGGAAATCTGCCATCTTTACCAGCCCATCTGTGACTCCAGCCCCAATAGCAATGTGGTTGACTCTCAACTATTAGGGATGGGCAATAAATACTGGCCTGGCCAGTGATGTCCACATCCCATGAATGAATACTTAAAAAAAAAAGCTCATCGTGATGCAAAACCCTAAACTGAAGCAGATTTGATGCTAAATTGGAAAAAGTCAGAAATCCTGGGCAAGTTCATACATGAGTTGGGTGTCACTTTGTAAACTGCGCAGGTTGGTTTTCCTGAAAATGCAGGGAAGTTCTTCCTCTGGCAGATGGATGAGAAGACAGGCCACGAAAGTTCAGCCTGCAATGTTAATGCAAATAAACTCTCCACGATGATACAAAATAAATACAAATGCTGTCATTACAAACAGTTTGGGGAAAGAAATATGGAAATATAAACAGATGTTGAGATAAGATTTGCATGACTTTGACATTTCCTTTGCTTTTTCTTACTAAATAATTTCTCGCCCCTGAAGCTTTAATTCTTACTTAGGCCTGTTACCGTGGTCACTACAGGTTGTGGACTACCTCAACCATGTCACAAGGCCTGAGGCGTTTGGCTACTCCATCCATCTGCACTGCCCAACTTTCAAGAGTTTCCAGAATATTCTGTTTTCACCTTGAGCCTGGAATTGTTTCAGCGCCGGGAGCAATGAGTGACAGGACCAGGAACAAGGGGGTTAATTCTATGAGGAGATGCTGGACAGGCTCAGTCTGTATCTGTCAGGGTAGAGTGTGTGACAAGTGATCTAGTACACATACAATCCTGAAGGGATTGAGCAGAGAGAACATGAGGAGGATGGCTCGTGTTGTGGGAAAGACTAAACTTGGGAGTACAGTTTAAGAATAAGGGGTCTTCCTCTTAAGGCAGAGATAAGAAGAAATGTTTTATCTGAGAAGGTCATTAGGTTGTGGAATTCTCCTCCCCAGAATGTAATGGGGGCTGGGTCATTGGATTTATTCAAGGCCGAAGTCAATAGATTTCTCATAGACAAGGGGGTCAGCAGTTAGTTGGGGGAGCAGACAGAAAAATGGAGATGAACCACACCCAGACCAGTAATGAATATACAGGCTTGAAGGACCAAATGGCCTACTCCTGCTCTTCAGTCATATGTTCCTGCGACGCTCCAACCAGGGGTCTGGACCGCACACAATTCCTCACCAGGTGACCACACAGTCATACTCACCAATGAGGTACACACTTTGACAGGTTGGATCCTTTCTCAATTCCCTCAGATCTAGTCTTTAACCCTTCCATGTCATGTCTGTAGGTTGCCCCATGGCAAAAGCATTCGAAAACACACAGTCAGGTTATCAAACATACATGGGGGACTGGTGCATCCTAGGGCTATGGAGACTCAGTCTTTGAGAATGTTTAGGGTAGAGATTGTTAGATTTCTGATTACCATTAGCATACATGCTCCAGGGGATGAAGTGCATAAAAGGCATTGAAGTATGTGATCAGCCATGATTATATTGAATGTTAGGGCAGTTTTGATGGGCTAATTGGCTTTCTCTTGATCCTATGTTCCTCAGTACCACCTCCCTCAAACCCTCCACTGCCTTTGATTTGTCACATTGTTTTTGTCTAGAATCCAGTGGTGAATGAGCAGAATTTTCCTCCAATTAATCATTGGAAAGACAAAAGCTAGCATCTGAATCCCTGTTACAATCGTTGTTTCCCAGCACTGAATTGAGTCACGAGCTTGGCAACCATTTGAAGTTGATACAGACAGCTCACTTCCTTCATGTTCTAAAAAGCCTTTAGTTGAATTTCCAAACCCATAATAAAATAAAGTACTGCAGATGCTGGAGATCTGAAGAAGAAACAAAAATTGCTGGAGATACTCTGCAGATCTGGTAGCAATCATGGAGAGAAGGCAGAGTTAAAGTTTCAGGTGATGAATTGACAAAAGGTCACTGGACCCAAAACACTGACTGTGTTCTCTCCACAGATGCTGTCAGATATGCTGAGTTTCTCCAGCAATTTCTGTCTTTGTTCCAAACCCACATCAAGTCTCTAAGACAAGCTATTTCCAAATCTGTAGATCCACCTGACCTTTTCATTCCCTCAGCTTATCTATTTTTGGAATTTTCCTTCCTCCAGCTCCTTGTTATTTCTGAACATCAATTTCCTAATGAATTCCTGGCTGACATCTTATCTTTCACTTCTGTGTGACCTGTATTCCATTCCAAATTCTGCTGACAATATCCTAACACACTCCAAGTCCTGTTCACACACCATTCCCTTGTTTGGCTCCCAATTTCGAAATGATAAACCATGGTCTCTCTGCTCTGTAACCTCCTCTAGCTCTCCAAGTTATCTGCCCTCCTCCAAGCAGACGTTGGCACCTCCCAGGCATTATTGATCTGTCACTGGTGGTCATGCTTGCAGCTACCTGGAGCCTGAATTCTCAAATTTACTCCTCAAACATAGAGTCATAGAGTTACAGAGATATATGGCACGGAAACAGACCCTTCCGTCCAACTCGTCCATGTTGACCAGATATCATATATGAATCTAGTCCCATTTGCCAGCATTTGGCCCATATCCCTCTAAACCCTTCCTATTCATATACCCATCCAGATGCCTTTTAAAGGTTGCAATCATACCAGCCTCCACAATTTTCCCTGGCAGCTCATTCCATGTACGCACCACCCTCTGTGTGAAAAAGTTGCCCCTTAGGTCCATTTTATATCTTTCCCCTCTGACCTTAAACCTATGCCTTCTCGTTTTGGACTCCCCTACCCCAGGTAAAAGACCTTACCTATTTACCCTATCCATGTCCCTTGTGATTTTAAAAACCTCTATAAGGTCATCCCTCAGCCTTCGACAATCCAGGGAAAATAGCTGCAGCCTATTCAGCCTCTCCCTATAGTTCAAACATTCCAACCCTGGCAACACCCTCATAAATCTTTTCTGAACCCTTTCTAGTTTCACAACATCCTTCCTATAGGGAGGGAGACCAGAATTGCATGCAATGCTCCAAAAATGGCTGAGCCAATGTCCTGTACAGCCGCAACATGACCTCCCAACTCCTATACTTAATGCACTGACCAATAAAGGCAAACGTACCATACACCTTCTTCACTATCCTATCTACCTACATCTTCTTCAATCTTGAAGACATTGCTTCTAACCTTCCACTGTGATGGAGATTTTGTTAACTAGTTTGTTAGGTATGATCCTCCCTCTGACAAAGCCATACTGATGATCACTGATCAAACCTACCTCTCCAAGTGGAGATTAATTCTCTCCTTCAGAATTTTCTCCAGTCATTCCCCACTACTGATGTGAGACTCACTGATATATAATCTGATCTATAATTGCCTAGTTTACCCCTATCATACTTGTTGAAAATTGAAACCATATCAGCTGATCTCCAGTCCTCTGGCACTTACCATGTCACCAGAAATGACTTAAACATTCAGGTTGGAGACTTTGTTATTTCTTCTCTACAGCAGCCTGGGATACAACATATCTGGACCTTTTTCTAAAATTTATTCATGCGATGAGGGCACCGCTTCGCAAGCATTCATTGCCCATCCCTAATTGTTAACAGTCAATCATATTGCTGCGGGTCAGGAGTCACACGTAGGTGGTGATAGAAGGCTGTTTGTATGACTAAAGGCTTGCCCACAGTTCCTGAAGGTGTCAGGACAGGTTAAGTGGGTAGTTCAGAAGGCATACAGGATACTTGCCTTTATTAGCCAAGGCATGGAGTATAAGAGCAGGGAGATTACGTTGGAGCTGCACAGGACTTCGGTTAGGTCACAGCTGAGTACTGCGCGCACACTTCGCCTCCAAGCGATGTGATTTCAGTGGAGGGAGTGCAGACAAGATTCACCAGGATGTTGCCTGTGATGGAGTATTTCAGCTGTGAAGAGAGGCTTAGATAAGCTTGGGTTGTTTTCTCTGGAGCAGAGAAGGTGGGGGTGAGGGGCCTGATTAAGGTGAATATGATTATGAGGGGCATGAACATGGTGGGTAGAAAGTAGCCAGTCCTCATAGTTGACGGACCAATAAGAAGGGGAATAACTTTAAGGTGAAAGGCAGGAGGTTGAGTGGGGAGTTGAGGATAATGTTTTTTCATCCAGAGGAGAATGAGTGTCTGGAGTGTAGTGCCTGGGAGGGCAGTTGAGGTGGGTAAACTTTAAAAAGTACTTGGATGGGCACTTGAAGTGTCCAAGGCTATAGGGCTAGTGCTGAAAAGTGTAAATTTAAAGTAGTTTTGGTGATACAGACTTGATGGGCCAAAGGTCCTGTTTTGTACTGTGTGCTTCTATGATTCTCAATGCAAATCCTTTCTTTCACATAATCACTTCAAGAAAGGGAAAGGGCCTATGAGAGTGTGGGGGCCTCGTTTAAGGCAGAAGGCTAGGCTTTGAGGATGGGCAACAATTCAGGAATTCTTTCTAGATTTCCTTTGGATTTGTAAATCATTGCTACAGACCATTTCCTCTCACCAATGGCTGTGATCCTGAATGGTGTTATCTTCAAAGTGGCTGAAAGTGGATGACTGGAGTGACGGTGGTCACTATGTGAGTTTAATTAAACAATCACCTTTGAACTGACCTGTGTTTCCCTATAATCTGTAGATAAATTTAGGGTTCTTTAACGTTATTTCCAATTCCATAACTATGCATGCACTCAGACGGTCTGATTTTGTGCCTACTTAAAACATTCACTGCTAAATGCAAAGTTCTCGGATCGTATATCAGCTGCAAAGCCTAGAACTGATTTGCAAGCGATAGTTTGCAAACGTTGATGTCACCTCCTATCTCTGAGTCTGTATCTGTCTGTGCTGATAACAGCTAGTTTCCCAGAACCCAACCACACTGGAAGATGTTTACTAAATAACCATTACTTTTCTGAAGAAGTAATCTATGTAAACTGACAAAGTTGTGCCTTCAATTTCTGCTTTAGGGACTTCTGTGGATAAATTAGGCTGACACTCCAGTACAGTGGAGTAATGCACCGCTGCACTTTCTGTAGGTGGTACAGTTTGGATAAGGGCTTTTGGCTTTACAGCATCTGGAAATTTCCAGAACAATGCTGGTCAGTTGGGGACTCTAGTCCACTTTCATTGCTTAGCTAACAGCAAAGCATTATCAGAAATTGCTGGTAAAGCTCAGAGGTCTGGCATCATCTGTGGAGAGAAATTGGAGTTAACGTGTCCAGTGACCCAAAATGTTAACTCTGCTTTCTCTCCTAAGATGCTGCCAGACCTGATGAGCTATTCCAGCAATTTTTATTTTTGTTTCTGATGTACAGCATTGGCAGTTCTTTCAGTTTTTACCAAAGTAATATCTCTAGTCATCGGCTTGTCCATTGCTCGAGCATCGTTCTACACAGGACTGTTACACAATCAGCAATGTGATCACAATCAGATCAATTACTTTCTGTGATGTTGGATGAGAAGTACATATTGGTGATGGGACAGTGGGGACAACACCCCGGCTCTGTTTCTAATTGTGCCACAGATTATTTGACGGCCAGCTGAATGATGGGCAGTCTCATCAGAAAGGCAGCACCTCCAATAGTGCAGGAATCCCTCCGCGCTGCGCTAGCAGTGTCTGCCCAGATTCTGTGGGCAAGTCCCTGTTGTGGGACTCGACTCCATGACTATCTGCCTCACAGGTGAGGGTGCTACCAAGAGAACCAGGGCTTTCAGGGTGAGGGTTGGACTAGGCTGTGATTTATCATACCACACGTTCAGGTCAACTGTATTCACTGCCTCTCACTCTGACAACAGGAAGAGACAGAAGTAGAAGCTGTCCACCGCACACCAAAGCTGAAGCACCCAAGCACCGCTGCCCATTGCAGATAAGAGTCACAGTCTCCCCATTGGGAGTAGCAAAGCTCTGCTGGAAGACCAAAGGGAAAAAGGAAAAGCATTGCTCGCAATTTTAACTCACCGTTCTCCGATCGAGAGGGGCCGGGATTACTGGTACGGTGATACAATCTCTTCAAGTTGGGCAACCTATCCCTGATTAAGTTCCATTGGCTGTTGGAAGAGTTAAACCAACCTGCAGAGAGTCATAGGGCAGCTTGTCTGCGGCTGTGTTCATAGAATTTACCAGCTCACCCCATCCTGATGCTCCTCCCTAGGGACAGTTCTCAAACCCACTTTGACCCAAACCCACCTGCTGTAAAGGATTGAACGCAACACCATCCTTTTTGCCTCATGAGGAGAGTTTTGGTACAAGTTGAAAGCAGCTGCTGTCCTGAGTCAGGCCTTAGCCCTTGACATTGTGTAAAAGGCAATTTTTTTTTAAATGATGGAATAAAATACAAGAATGTTTCCAATTATGCCATGTGTCACAGCCGGTATGTAATATACATGCAAGAAACACGCTCGTGAGATAATACCATATCATGACATGTGACCTGATCAATCATAGAATCCCTACAGCATGGAAACAGACCCTTCGGCCCAACAAGTCCACACTGACCCTCGGAGCATCCCCACCCAGACCCATCACCCTATAACACACCTAATCTACACATCCCTGAACACTACGGGCAATTTAGCATGGCCAATCCACCTAGCCTGCACATCTTTGGGCTGTGGGAGGAAACTGGAGCACCCGGAGGAAACCCACACAGACACGGGGAGAATGTGCAAACTCCACACAGACAGTCACCCAAGGGTAGAATTGAACCCGGGTCCCTGGCGCTGTGAGGCAGCAATGCTAACCACTGAGCCACTGCGATGTTATAAAAATCTCGGTCTCCAACTTACTGAGGTCAGTTGCAGCATGACACTGACGGAAGTGTGCAACAATTTGTAACCAAATTGCTTCGTACTAGTCCACATATGGTAATACCTGTGATTCTAGTAGGTATCAGAATGTGTAATAAAACTGAATGATTCTTTCATTTCCATGTTATCCACATCTAGTTCTTATGCTACACAAGCCAACATAAAGCATCAGGTACAAATTCCCTGCAGCAGATACAAACCCAACACTGTGTCTACAACAAATCATGACAGGGGAACACATCAGGTGGGTTATCCACAAGACATTCAGCTTCAAAGATTTAAAAGTCATGGCACTTTTTCATGATGGTCAGCTAGGGATCAACGGCTGGGATAGAGGGTGTGGGTTTGAGCACACTCCAGAGATGCGAGCACAGAACCTAAGCTGACAATCCCAATGCAGTGCTGAGGGAAGTGCTGCACTGTCCGAGGTGGCATCTTCCAGATGAGACTTACCCCTAGGCTCCATCTGTCACCTCATGTGAGAGAGTTCATGAATACTATTTCAACAAAGGGTAGGGGAGTTCTCCAAACACTGGAACCCAAAATGAAAACAAGGGGTATGGGTGATATAAAACCAAATTCCTATTTGCCGTGATCCATTTGCCATTACTGCCCAAATCAACTGGTTGGCACAGGACACCAATGGTGTTTTGAAACCTGGCACCAAGTGCAGCTGGATGAATAATCTCCTTGCCATCCTTGACCATCAGCAAACAGTAACCACCTCTGTAAGGAACTCCCCAGTGTAACAAAATAAAATGTAAGTGGCAATTCGGATAAAAATTCCATTCTGTAAACTCCTGTATCTCTGTTCCCAAAGCAAGCACCTCTAATGAAAGGTGTTTAACATAATCAATATTTCTCATACTCAGCAGAATTCCACAGCTAGAATTCTCACAAGTACCTTTGGAATTTTCGTTAGGTACCTGGTGACAGAATCAAACCAAGACAGAATGTCTCAAGACTACAATCATCCTTGTGTTCTATTGCATTGTGAATTGAGATCTGTGTCACACTTTTCTAGCCCTCATTCTGGTCCCTACACCTTAGTCTGATTCACAAAGAGCAAACATATGGATCTGAAATGTTAACTCCGCGTTCGCTCTCTGCAGATACTACCTGAAGAATATTTTCAGCCTTCCCTGTCTCTATTTCAGATTCCCAGCATCCACACAAGTTTGCTTTTCCATAAAGGAATGGAACAAATGGGACAGTAATTTCAAAAGCTGACACAGAGATGATGGATGGAATGCAGGGCAAGATTCTACATGTCTTTTCCTTGTATGCCTCACTTCACAAGTAGATCCATCGGAGGTCAGTGTGCTATAGACATTTCACAGCTATAGTCCTTGTGGCTGCTGTTTTTGGATGTGCTTGCTGATTAAATTCATATTTCCCCTTTTCAAATGTTTTTATTGTTTCATATCCATCAATGTGGTCAGTTTCACAGCATAGAGCCTGAATCTGACTGGGACTGTCCAATTTCACTCGACTGTATTGCGTGGAATTCACGTGAAGTGCTTTCTTTCCCACTTGTCGATCTGGTTGCTTACACTCGGTATCAGTGTTTAATGAGGGACATGTCACTGAAAACCAAAAGATAGATTTCTGTCTTGTTGAGGACGTATTTTCCTGAATCCACTGTCAAAGGATTCAGACCCAATTTCATTTCAATTTGGTATATTCCCTCCTAGAAGGTACAGACTGTCCTAAGCATAAGGGGTTTCAACTCAGAATGAGCCAGGTGCTGCTGAAATTGCGTGATAACGGGATGTAATTTAATCTACTGCAGAATAACAGGATGTAGTTGTGACATGGGTACTGAAAGGCAGAGGAGGCTCAAGGGGCTGAACAGCCTACTCTTAGTACTGATTCGTATGTTTTTCTGGAATTAGAAAGGCACTTAAATCAATTCCTCAGGAGCAGAAGCACGTAAATCCTTTATGTGAGATAAACTTGAGGATCTGCTGCTACCTCTTTTGTAGACAACAAGGTGATTGTTGGTGAGTTAATTTATATTTTCAGACATCACTGCTCTTGTCTGTGTAATCTGTTGTTATATGTTTGCCTTTTGCTGAATTGAGCCTATTGAAGACAAGTTTGTGTGTGCAGAGAAACCCAATGATGGATAAAACAGTAATCCTTTAGTCTATTGTTTAACCTGGTTTATTATGACTTGGAGCTAAGGCTTGGCTTCCCCTGTCTCTGGATGGTGACCCACAGTCTGGTTTGTCAGAGATTACAGTCAGTCAGAAGATACTTGAGACAGAGATCACGACCTTGATCATCATGGCCTTGGCAACTAGAAGACCCTGCATTACCACCAATGCCCCTGCCAACCCCTCCCCTTATCCCTAAAACTCACCTCACAGCTACTGGCAAGATTCAGTCTATTTTTCTCTGTCTTAATCTCTGCAGTTAAACCAGAAAAAGTCATGCTGTCCACAAAACACTCATTTTCCTCAACTTGACTTCTTTCCATCACGATTCTTTTTTACACTCATAAGACAGCAGGTGTTTCAGGATAGTGTGGCCTCTGGTCCCATACCACTGTTTGGATCAAATCCTGTTTGCTCCTCACATCAAATGTTGCCTAACCCTATTTAGAAGAGGCTCAGCCCAGGGTTAAGACACGTCAATCAACAGCCGGTGAATTGGTTAGTTAGCAACAATCATTCCATTTCAGTAAGCTTGGGTAGCAGGTGCGGACGTCAAAGTCATGCAGCCTGACACTGCGCATTCTGCCAGTTGTACATGATGCTCACATGATCTGATTGGATCCTCCTTTACCCATGGTCCTTACAGCACTGAGAACAAGAGCCAGCAGGGTTACACGGGGACCAGAATCGCCAAGATCCCCTGCATGCTGCACACCATCCCATCATGTCCATTCTTCCATTGCTGCTGTGTCCGAGTCCTGGCACTTACTAACCAGCATGGGTACCATGGGTGCACCATCACTACGCATGGGCTGCAGTGGATGATAAAGACAGGTGCCCAACACCTCCTCAAGACCATTTGGACATTCAAAATAAATGCCAGCCTTACTGGTGATGCCCCCATCCCAAAGTAAAATATAAAGAAAGGCCAGCAGCCCCTACCCAGCTATTAAAGCACTTACCATGCTCCGAGCTATCGATGCTACTCACACTGTCGCAGTGCTCCAAGTTCTGTCGTTGCAGTTGTCTGACCAGGCTCAGCATCGGGAAGGATTTTCTGGACTTGCCGATACCCTTCATCCTGGATGGTTCCACCTCATCGTCTCCCTCAGCAGTCTTTTCGAGTGTCACCTTTGCTTTGGTCTTCTGGTCTTCCTCGCCCCCAGCAGGGGTAGTGAATGGCTGTGAAGGCAGCAAGAGTTTCCAGGTGAGTTCGCCATTGCTGTCTTGAGGTCCAATGTCACTGTGATCAGGAAGGGCACCAGGCATTTTTGGGGCAGATTCATTCCATAGGCATTTTAGGCAGCACAGAATTAGGTAAATGCCTTTTGAGTTCCTTCACCTCCCTCTTTCCTACAGGGTTCATGCATTGGGGGGTGGGGTGGTGCATGGCAGCCTGATCTCAAACAGCTTCCTCCCGTCTATTCTTTAAACATGTGAGCTTACACACCAAGTTCAATGCTATCTTCATTCACGCCAGCACCCACATGTATACTTTCAAAGGTGCATATTAATGCACAGACAAGCACATAACACACATGCATATATGTTTATGTTTATGTTTAATATCCACACACACGCTCGCGTACACACACACACACACACATACACACACACACAGTTACAAAAGTGGTAAAAATAAATTATAATTATTCAGCTCCCGTTATCTTAATCATCATTTTAATACCTGCGACCTTTTGTGGATTAAAACTGGTTTGAAAAGAAGAGAAAACCACTTATTTATGTTGGCAGCAGAAGTCACCTGACCAGTTTGAACGAAACTCATAAAATCAAGCCGAGCTAAACTCAAAGATAGTAGGAACTGCAGATGCTGGAGAATCTGAGACAACAAGGTGTAGAGCTGGATGAACACAGCAGGCCAAGCAGCATCATAGGAGCAGGAAGACTGACGTTTCGGGCTTAGACCCTTCTTCAGAAATGGGGGAGGGGAAGGGGGTTCTCTCTCCCTATTTATTTCAGAACCCCCTTCCCCTCCCCCTTTTCTG